GGGCTTCTTTCTCCACTTTCAGCTGTTAGCTAGTAGAAGCTGCTTTCCTCCTGGGGCAGAAATGAGTTGGTTTTTCTGACAACACCTGCACACAGAAAATGCCAATTTCAGAGTGTGCTCGGCAGAAGCATCAAGAAGACAGTGTCTCCAGAGACACACAAGGCTGGCCCTGTGACTGGACCCTCCGAGGCTTTCTGGGGTAGGAGAGAATTCTTGACCTTAGAGAGCCACATGCACTGGCAGCTGTGTAAATGATGGCTCATTTTGTTCTTACATGAGGGGCTGACACATTCTCTAAGTAGTAGGTGAAAACAATTTTCCTAATTAGAGGCCTTTTCTGATAACACATTCCTATCCCAACCAGTTTACTTAGTTCACTCCCAATTCCTGGGCCTGAAAATTTATTAGAGGGCTGCCTAATGCTTCAGAGAGATTCTAAATAAACCATTGTTAAGATGCGATCTTTCTGTTTATGAGTACAAATGCTTAGGGACAACAGGAACACATTAGAAATATCCAGTAGAAACAGCATTCATTTATGCAACAATATTTCAATGTCTAACATGCTCTAGGTATTCTGCTAGGATTAGGATACCAGCATGAATACGATCCTTGGTCTCTGATTGACACTAAAAACAAAGCTACAGATGGTCTGATCATTCCAGGCCAAACTGCTTGAAAATGAAACCCAAAGCCACTCACCACCTATTTCAGAGGACCAGGCATGTGAGAGAAGACCCTTTGGAGAAAACTATTTTCTTGATGGGATAGTGTGTGTGGTACAGCATTTCTGGGTGAAACCGGAAAAAGGCAGAGCTGCTCTCAGGACCGAGGCTTAGCTGCTTTGGTCAGTACATCATTTGGCCATCAGAGAGACTTTGTCACATTACCTAGCACGGGGTACCGAGACAGCAGAACCAAAGTTCCAGCATTTACAGAAACAGGACTTTACCAGCCTGGCAGCCATCAAGCACCGACCTAAATGTGTTAATAAAATGCACATTTCAGGAGATCACAAACAAAAACTCCAATAGAAGAGGTGACAGGGAGGAAAACTGCTGCCTTTTGCAGTCTTGCTTGACAGCAGAGTGCAAAGTGAGATTGAGAAAAGGACACTGAAAAAATCAAGAGAATTTTCTTTAGTTCCTGAATCTCTATGAGGTCAAATTTCCTATAAAATGAGGATGATCACTGAGTAAGAATGAAAGGAAACATTAAAGTGCTTCATATATAGAAGTTCCCCAATAAAAAGAGCATTAGCAGCATAAAACCAATTAAGGAGAAAATTAGAAATTACCAAATTCTATTATGTGTAAAATAGCATGAGGTAAGAGGTGTATTACAAAATATTTATATGCAGTATTAATAGTACCTGATTTATTTCTAAAGAGCACAGGGGTTTTCTAAGATTATTAGTGGGCAGTTTAAGGATACAACATACACATATAATTATAGAACACACATAATACATATGGCATCTTATCAAATTACAGATAGAAGTATCTACATTAAGGATTAATGACTGATTTGAGGTCACAAGTATTTGGGTAGAACAGAACTACAGTAGTGTGGTTGCTGGTCCTGCCACCTTAAACATTGCTTTCCAAAGTTTATTTTGGTGAAGATGCACAGGTCCTTTTGTCCTTTTGTCCTTACTCACACTGACCAGAGCACTCTGTTTGCTTTTGGACCCCTTTCTCCGGACTCATAAGAGGTAAATCAGAATGCAGCGTTCAATATCAGTTGCTATAGGAGAAACCAATGGGTATTCAATGAAGGTTTTAAATCATCAAGTATGCAATAATTGGGTCAGTACAACACAAACCCCAAATTCAGGTAACAGTTTATTGGAAGTTTTACGGGGTTGAATAAAGCATCACCTACTCTGTCTGTCTGAATAAAGTGTTCAGAGATTATTTTTCCCTCACAGAAATCTGGTCTTGATATATCAAATGGGCTCAAGTTGTGAAGCAGAAAACCCCCAGGAATGTCTACAGTGTTCCCAGTCTTCCTCCTTAATGTTAGCTCTATACCATCCAAAGAACAACACTATTGCATTTCATTAAATAAATATTTACAGAACACCTATTAATGTACCAGACATCATTGGAAAGGTCAGGGATATAGCAGTTAATGGAATAATTAGCCAACTTTTTCTGTGAAGAGCCACATAGCAAACATTTATGGTTTCCTGGGGCATATGGTCTCTGTCACAATCAGTCAGCTCTGCTGGGCTGGCACAAAGCAGTCAGACAATACGTAAAATAGTAGGAACAGCTGTGTTCCAGTAAGCATTTATTTACAAAAATAGGCAAGGGGTGGATCTGGCCTGTGAGCCACAGTTTACTGACTTTTCCTCATAGAACTCAGAGATAATGGAGCCGACATTCTGGGGATGAGAGAAGCTACCTTCTGGGGGTAGAAGACAGGCAATAAAATAAACTGAGTTGTAAGTGAAGGCCCTATTGAAAAAGTGACTTTTTAATGAAGATTTGAAGTTGGTGAAGTAATGATAGTTGGGAGAGGAATATTTTAGGAAAAAATAAAAGTTGTGTGATGGGAAGACCCTGGAGGCCAGGACAGCTGAAGTAGAGAGAAAAGCAGGAGGTTCAACCTTATAGACCATGGTGTTGAGAGACATTGAGCAATACTCTGAGCAGAAGTGTGATCTCATGTCAGTGTTAAGAGGTGCTGAACACAGAAATGAGAGGTCAGGGGTAAACGCAAGAAACCAACTGAAGGAATTATAGTGATCCAGAGAGAAGTGAGGGTGGCCAGGACCAGGGTGGAAGAGGATGGTGAGAAGACTTTAGTTCTGGTTATATTCTTTTTTTTTTTTTTTAAAGATTTATTTATTTATTTATTTATTTATTTATTTATTTATTTATTTATTTATTTATTTATTTATTTATTTATTTATACAAGCACTGGGTACAGTCAGAAGCACGGGAGGGTGAGAGAATTCACCAGAGCCAGAGCAGGGAGCAGAACAGGCAGAAGGACTGAAGTACACTGCTGAGGGGAGCAGCGGGCGGCAGGAGAGGTCTGCGAGCCATGTGGGACCCTCGCCCCGGCAGCCGGGGATCGAACCGCCACTGCAGAGGCTGCGGGCAGCTTCACAACCCAGCACTCAAGCGCTGCGCCACCGGGGAGGCCCTCTGGTTATATTCTGAAGGTGAGTACAGAACATTTTTTAAAGGGTGTATGTGGAATATTATGATTATGAAACATCCTTAGAAACGTTAGGTGTTAGAATCATAACTTTGTAATTGATTGAGACAAAAGTATTAACTACAAAGTATGTGACTGTATCTAAATAAAAACATGCACCAATTACTTCTTATACAATGACCGAGATACCCAGTTAATGGATTCATGGTTTTCATTCTGTATCAATGCCTCCAGTTTATTATAGTGAGGATTAACCTATGCTAAGTGGTTTCCCAGCACTTTCTATTTCAAATGTGGTATGACTCTAGGCCAATGCTTGATCCCATAGAGAATGTACTCCAAAGTGGGTTCTACAATAGTACAGTGTAATAGTGAAAAAGTGGTTCTGTGGTCCTTCACAGAGATTCAAAATGCACAGTAACTTGATAGTGTCTGAGTAATTCTGATACCAAAAAAACCCTAAAACCCTTTAACAATGAACCTCTCACCAATTAACTTTTTCTATTTGTCCCTCTACTAACTGAAAACAAAGACAAAAAGAAGGCACACTCACAATAAACAGAACACCTAACTTCTAGCAAAGAAAGAAAAACACTTTTCTTGATTTAAGAGTTATATGGGCCTCCCCTGGTGGCGCAGCGGTTGAGCGCTGGGCTGAGAGGCTGCCTGCAGCCTCTGCAGCACCGGTTTGATCCCCGGCTGCCGGCGAGGGTCCCACATGCCACGCAGACCTCTCCTGCCGCCCGCTGCTCCCCTCAGCAGTGTACTTCGGTCCTTCTGCCTGTTCTGCTCTCTGCTCTGGCTCTGGTTCTGGTGAATTCTCTCACCCTCCTGCGCTTCTGACTGTACCCAGTGCTTGTATGAATAAATAATCTTTTTTAAAAAAAGAGTTATTATACAACTTATTGCTAAATAATCCTGCCTTACCTATCTCAAGGTAACCATGAGGACCAAATGTAATTATATACACAAAAGTATTTTGCACACATCTCTGTGGTATCCAAGCACATGGACAGGCCCAGTGTTTTATATAAACAGAAGTCTAAGGAAAGAAGTTTAAACAAGGTATAAAAATCATCAACCGGTTTTGATAGGCACAAAGACCTAGGGTGAAGGCCATCTTGAGAGACTACCAGGTATCCCCGTGACCACCAGTCTCATCGTTGTGCTAAAAAGGTCGGGCTATTTTGATTAAAAGCTACCTTTTGGAGAGAGTGACATCATCAAGATGGTTACACAGGTTGTTCCTGGCTTGCTTCTTCTCCCTAGAGCTAACAACAATTCATGGACAAGGCACTTCTGGGACAGTACCAGAAGTGTCTGGTCTCTCCATAGGAGCCCAAGACAGAGTGATTGAGGTAAAAGGATCAGCTACATGCTGACCACATGGTCCCTTCCCCAGGCTAGCTCAGCACCACAGAGAAATGTCTCCTGAGTCTATGGTCCGTCCAGTGAGAAAAGAGAGGCCAGAGCAGTTATCTAGCTTCCCCACACTGTGGGAGATCCCACTCAGTCTCATATCACAGGGAATAAAAACAAACACACAGCCAGTGGAGCAGGACTGACAGCCCAGAAAGAAGCTTGTGCATATACTAATATTTGACAAGAGAAAATACTCATTGGGCAAGAGAATCTCTTCATTAAATGGTAGTGGGGAAACTGTATTCATTTATGAAAGTATGAAAGGACACACTCTCTTGCACCACTTACAAAAATTAACTAACTTCAAATGGATTAAAGACTTAAAAGTAAGACAAGAAACCATAAAAACCCTAGAAGAAAACACAGGGAAAAAGCTCTTTGGCATGGTTCTTGTCAATGATTTTTTTTTTTTAATGTAACACCTAAAACACCAGAAACAGAACAAAAAATATACTACAGAGACTCCATCAAACTAAAACTTCTTGCATAGCAGAAGATGAACAAAATAAAAAGACAACTTATGGAATGGCAAAATATATTTGCAAACCATGTGTCTGATACAAAGAACCCATACAACTCAATAGCAGAAAAAAAAAAAAACAAAAAAAAAAACAACCCAGAAAAACACCCAATTACAAATGGGCAGTGTCTGAGTAGAGATTTTATCCAAAGAAGATATACAAATGGCTAATCTATTCATGAAAAGGTGTTTCACATCACCAATCATAAGGGAAATACAAATCCAAACCACAATGAATCTCTCAGAACGGCTGGTATCAAGATGGCAAATGGCAACAAATGCTGGCCAGGATGTGGAGGAAGGGAACCCTTGTGCACTGCTGCTGAAAATATAAATCGGCACATCATTATAGAAGAGTAAGGGGGTTCCTCAAAAAATTTAAAATGGAACCACTACATGATCCAGCAATCCCCCTTCTGGGGATATCTAAAGGAAAAGAAAACCCAATGTTATTTACAATAACCAAGATATGGAAACATCCATTCCCCCCAAGATTTTTTGACCACTGTCTTGCAGTTTCAGCACTGCCTGTCTGTACTACAGGCAACACTGTGGTCTGGTACATTTGAAAGTTGTTGAGGGTATACCCAAGAATCTCAACATGAGCAAAAAGCTGGCTTTTTTTGTATCTATATGAGATTATGGGAATTAACTAAACATATTGGGGTAACCATTTTACCATAGAGGCATGTCATTATGCTGTATACCTTAAAAATACACAGTGTTTTATGTGCATTTTCTCTCAACAAACTGGGGAGAAAAGCTATCTTTTGAATTGTGGGTATTCTGTTAATCCAGATACCAAGTAAACAAAATCAGTGTGAAAGGTGAAAACCCACTGTAGTGACAAAATAATAAAAACACACCTAAAATTTTTATGGTTGAAATATATAATCCCATGTTCCAGATTGCATAATCCATCCATTTCATTTTGAAAATATATGCATTTAACATTCTCTGATTATAAAAGTACATCATGCACATTTTAGAAAATTTAAAGTACAGAAAATGTATAATTTTTTTAAAATCTTGATTCACCAGAGATAACTTACCAACCATAAAACCCAAGACCATTTCCATTTTTCTGTGTATACATATCAGAAAGTTTCCTCTTACACAATTGAAATTATTTTTTTTTTAAAATCTCGCTTTATTACTTAACTTGGGTGATATGATTATCCATGTCCTTAAGTACTATTCAACAATTTTTAATGTCATCATAAAAATTTATCATGTGGCTACATCACAATTACTCACTCTTCCCTTCATGACTGTTTGGCTTTTCCCCATCCTGTGTCTACAATGATGTTAAGGGCAATTTCCACTATAGCTCTTTATGTGTATCTTAAATAATTTCCCCAGGATAGATTTCTAGATATAAAAATTCTGGGCCAGAGAATACAATTTTAAGGTTTTGCTACATGATGTCAAATTGCTACCACTGTCCTGGAGAGAAATTTATATTTCTGATAGCAGTATGTGTTTAATCTCATGTTACTCCTCTAGCACTGAGTCCTACCTTAAAAATATTGGCACATTTCTCATTGCTATGTATTTTTCATTTTTTGTTTTGATTTGTATTTTTTTGATTACTACTGAGTTTCAACTTTTTTTTTTCATGTTTCTTGGAGACATATCTTCCTGTGAATTTATGCATATTGACTATATTTCTATCTCGCGTGTTCATCTTTTTAAAAAATTACTCATAAGCATATATTGTGGTATTTTTACAAATGCTTTGTTGCTAGTGTTAGATTAAGTTTTTCCAATCAACAACAGAAGATTCTGTTCTTCCGCCTGCAATTTCATACTCTAAAAAATCAATTAAAAATTCAGGTGGAGGCAAACAGTGTACCTTGAAAAATTACATCAACCTTATTGCCAAATAGGTGATGGCACATGAGGATTCCTCTTCCCACAGGGCTGTTCCTCAGTAAGTTATTCAGAATAAAGAAATGTAGACATGTTAGGTGGACTCTGATTCAAATGCAAGGTCCATTTACTAAGGAAGGTCAGGGTTATTTTTGTGTTTTATTCTTTTCTTTTCTTTTGGCTTTGACTTTGGCCTTTGACTTGTAGTTCCAGTGATCCCGGTCCTGGGAATTCAACTGGGAAGCTGAAAGATGGTGCAGCGGTAGGCACAGGACAACCGGCTGAGAGCAGGTTGATTTTCACACACCTTGTTTCTAGGCGTTCCAGTGTGGCAGTCCTGTTAGCACAAAACTATTGCTTGGATTAATTTCATTTATATACATATCACCTGTGAGAAGAACAAATCTGCCTATCATGGACGTTCAATAATTGGTTGCTCAAAGGCTCCGCAAATGTAGTTTCTACACTGAGTGTGGTATAGATGGTGCACATTTACAAAACTTCTTTGGCATCATCAAAGTCACTTAGAAGAACGATTTGATATGAACAGATTTTCCACAGTGACAAGAAACATACTTGAGTTTTTTTCTCTCTCCGTTTCACAGCTCCTGTCTACCAGTCACTGGCAGAAGTCACCAGTTCTTTAGCTAAGAAATACCGCTTTCCAAAATCCTTTGGCAGAATCTCCAAGAGATTTGTTTTTCTGCTCCTTCTTAATTTAGCAACAGTCTTCAAAGAAAAAAAAAAAAAAAAAAAAAACCCTGACAAATCAATGTGAGAAGAAACTAACTCTGATTTAATTTTGCATTTCTTTCATGGAAAGTTTCAGAGTTTATCATCTACAAACAATAAAATTGGACAAGATAATTTTGGGGGGAAAAGTAAACAAAAATGTGTATTCCAATAGCAGACTATTCTTTATTCTCTTCAAAAAACAACAGGATACAAATTCAAGATTTTATTAAAATCATTTGTAAGTTAAATTAACATATTTTGGTGGTACAAGAATACTTTTATTTTAAAATAATGAGTTATGTGAATAAACAGAAGAGTGAAAAGTGTCAATTGTGACAATGAAATGATTATATAATTTTAATTAAGCAACTTTGTGAATATCTATTCAAGGCACTGAAACCTTATCCACTATGGAATTTGCAGTTGAATTAGGGCTTTGTTTGCTACTTTGGCAATTTTTAAAAAAAGATTTATTTATTTATGCATTCAAGGGCTGGGTACAGGCCAGAGGTGTGGAGGGTGGTGAGAGGATTCATCAGAGACAGAGTGGGGAACAGAACTGGCAGACTGACTGAAATACACTGCTGAGGGGAGCAGCGGATGAGACAGGAGAGGTCTGCTGCGCCATATGGGTTGCTCCCTGGCCGGCTGGGGATCGAACTCGTGCTGCAGTGGCTGCGGATTGCTTCATAGTGCAATGCTTAACCCCTTGCGCCACCAAGGAGGCCCTATCTTTGGCAATTTTAAGGAAACAAATGGAAATGGTTTTAAGAACTTACCAAAAAACTACCACCTACCAAAATGGTTTAAAAGGTAAGGTGATAAGCACTAGAAAGAGAAAGCGAAAAGAAAAAAAAAAAAAACACACCACACACATCGTATTTATTTGCAGGGTACAGCAACAGAGGACAGAATAATGAGAAGGGACCAGATGTCCAGCCCGTGCCAACCCCTTATTTGTTCTTGGCTGTCAGGGGCTTCCGGCTGATCTTTTTTGATTTGTCATTATTTTTCTTCGGCGGTTCTGGGTTTGCCTGCATATGTCTGCCGTAGAGGCTGAAAAAGAGAGGAGGGAAACCATGAGCTCCATCTACTAACACAAGATAAGCTGCTACTGGCAGAGCTGTAAGCAAAAGATTCATCTCCAAAGATCACTTCTGTTGTCTCTGGGTCACATACTATATTAAGAATTTAAAATTCTCTTATACACACGCGTACACAGCTGCCACAAGGTCTAATTCTGGACAAGCCTCTTGCAATGTCACACTCACTGGGCAGGGTGTGAAAACACCAGAGGAAGAGATTCAGTTTTGTGAACCGAATGCTCAGCCCAGCTGTTCCAGACTGAACTCAAAGGCCCGGAGTGTTTAAGTCGACAATGACAAAAATTGGGAGGAACTGACGAGATAGAGTGTCCATTTAGTGAAAAGTGAGCATCGTGCCTGCCAGAAAGCCCAAGGGCTGGATAACGTGACAGAGAGCAATGGTGTCCGAGCACGCTGGCTGCTCCTGTGTGATTGATCGTGCTGGGATGTCGGCCGCACATCAATGCCACGTTAATAAGCACTGCTGATTAAATGTTGACAAAGTACCCTACAATTACAGTGGATGGCATCCATCGCAGGCGAAGCTGGCTCCATGGCTGAGGGGATTGAACTGAACAGGAGATGGTAATTAATGGATAATTTATGAGTAATTCTGATTAAACTAAATTAAAAGTCACCCTAAAATAAATACAGCTCAACCTTAACTGCCCTTATTGATATGACTGTGTTCCTGAGAGAGCCCTAGTGTATCGCAGTTCCTTCAGAGCAAAGGCATCGTCTGAAAGCTTTCGTTACTGCCTGTGCCAACCCAGTGAAGGTGATTCCAAGGTTGGCATCCCTATGCTGTCCCCTGTTGTAAGGTCCATGCAAGGTAAGGACATGCACGTGTCAGGCTTGAATTCTGCCATGCAAACTGCTGCCATGTGCAGTGAGGCACAACTTGGCATCACTGATGCTCCTGATGACACTGCCCCAAGTTCGAGGGATGATTCAGCACATGGAGCTGCCCAATGGGTTGACTGCTTAGGGGAAATAGGACACCTGGGTTTGGATGGATCATACTGTATTCTATTTTCTCCAGAGGCTTCCATGTACATTGTAGCATCACTATGACAGTTCTACCTATGTTGATCATGAACATAGGTCTCTGCTCCGAAAGAACTTAAATGCAGAGTCTGAAGTTGGCAGCAGATCAGAACAAAAGTCCATAGAGCCAGGTGTTGCAAAGTTGTCCAGATAAAGGGGAAGCAGAGCTCTTGTGTTAAGCAGGCACTGCATATCCTAGAAAATTAGCATTAGCGCCTACAAGTTTGCTCTTAATTTGTGTAGCAGTCAAGGGGGAGCCAGAAAGATCCAAACTCTGTATCCGCTACCCTCTGCCTCTGAGCATCTTTCCCAGATGCATCAAATTGGGAGAAGAAACCCTGGTCAAAGTAGATTTGTCTGTTATGTTCCTCAGTTTTATCAACATACTTGCTGAAGCATATTCTTTCTTCTCTTAGTCCTCTCCTCTTCCTAAGATGCTGCTTTCCTCCAGCTCACAGTTCAATGCTACAGAGTAATATCCCTGAAGGCCTTTGGTCCCCGAGGCCACCTCGCCTGGCCCAGAGTGGAGGTGTGACTCAGTCCTGTGCCTGCAGTCTCAGGGCCTTTTAGCTATACAGCTTCCTCACAACCTTGTGAGTCTGTATTCCAGACTTTCCAAACCCTTACTCCCATAAGGTCAAAAATACACACATTTTTACAGACACCAAACTTTAAGGGTTACAGGAATCTGTAGAAATACAACTCCACAGTTGATGCACTTGTTAACCAGGCAATGCTGTGGTGCTAGGAAAGTGTCACTGATAGAAATAAGAGGTCAAAGGCAGAAGAGAACGAAGATTTGATAAGGGCCTGCTAAATGCCATGTCTTGAAGGAGCAGACACAAAAGGCATCCCAGAAAGGATGGGTATGCAGCTGGCCCTGCTAGCAATGTCATTTCAGAAGGGGGTGCAAACACTGCTCAGCACTCAGCAAGGCTCTTTTCATTTTTAGGGAAGAAGTGGAATGTTTCAGCGTTTCAAATCCCATTGTGTAGCCTGGGGTTACTTATCAAGTCACTATAAGGAGCAGATTGGAGACAATAGTCCTTAACTTGTTGTGTAACTCCTAGTTTTGCCACTTACTAATTGTTGACTTCGGGTAAATGATTCATTCCCCACACCCCATCGTGCCTCGGTCTCTTCCTCTGTAACAACGTGACGGTATAGCTTTCCTTGCAGGGTGGCTGCAGTTGCTAAATATGCCCGGCACCATGGTCAGCTGAATGGAAGTGGCCGGCAAATGCTTGTTGAAAACTAGGGCTGATGTGTGATTATAGTCAGAGTGATTAAATAAAGATAATTACATGATTACGTCTTTAGGACTTTTTTATCTGAAAAATAACAGGGTATATTCTATCAATGCCAAACCCCAAGCATCTCTGGAAGAAAGGTTTTAATCCTCTTTGAAGAAAGCAACTAAGCAGAGCTAAATGCATTGCCCCACTTCCTCAGTGAGTCACCGGCAGAGCAGGGATGACGCTGGCCTTCTCGCGTGATCCTCTCACTCCTTCTGCTGTGTGGGCAGAAGAGAGTCCGCGTTTCACTAAGCGGCCATCCCCAAGGTGGAGGCGTAGCTGGGCAGAGGAGGAACGACCAGCTTAGGGGCAGAAGCGTTGAGTTTCCTTCCTGGCTTTACCAGCTATGGGGTAGCTTTATCCCCAGATGTCCACATTCTAATCCCTGAAACCTGTGAATGTGTTACCTTGAATTGCAAAAGAGACTTTGCAGAGGGGGTTGAATGAATGATTTTAAACTCCAGGTAACAGACCCCCGTATTATGTAGAGTTGCACCTATATGGTCACAATGGTTCTTGCAAAGCGGGAAGCAAGAGGGTCAGAATCAGAGAGACCTTTGAAGGCTTTGAAGGAGGAAAGGCGACCAGCCAAGGAATGCAGGTAGCTTCTAGAAGCCAAAAAGGCAAGGAAGCACAAGGTCTGTGTAGGGTAAGGAAAAATGTCAGGCTTTTCTGCCCTCCCGCCATCAGGAGAGATGATGGATCCTTGCAGTCCTGAATACATGCCTGATGGCGGGCACCTGGAGTAGGGTGTGGGCCTAGGTAGATGGGATTCACCTGGGCTAAGACTGTGCTTTTTAAGGGCGGCGTCATGGGGACACCAGCAGAAGCAGAAAAAGCCGAAAGAGAAGCCGAGAGAGAGAGATCACCGGAGAGCCCAGACAGAGTGAAGACTTGCTGGGGGCTGGGAGGCCTGCCAGCCTCCTGGCCCCCCAGCACCCCTGCCTGCCGTGTACCTGGTAATCCCAATAAAAACCTGTAAAACCACTGAGGACTCTGACTCCTCCTTTACCCGGTCTGCTGGATCAGAAAATCTGCACTATGTCCATTCCTGCCCCTACAGTCCCCTAGAGTATCCTGCAGGGCTCGGCCCTGCTGACACTTTAATTTCATGTTTCTGACCTCCGTAAGTATAAGACAATGTATTTGTTTTGCTTTTAGTTGCCAAGTTAATGTAATGTGTTGCATCAACAATAGGAAACAAATCAGTAAGTGAAACCTGGGCTAGCAGGGGCATCCTATCAGAGAGGATTCTCCTTAATTTTAGCAGGAAAAAAAATTTCTGCAATAGCAGCTCACTGAAGAGAAGAAAAAGTTAAATATTAAGTTTCAGAAAGAGGAACATGTTCCCCAAAGGAAACGTGGGTGTTACCTCTACCAGAAGAAGTAGGAACAAAAACCAACTGTCTCCTCTTTACTACAGAGTGGATGGTTCCCACACCTTTCATTCAGGGACTTAATGCTCAAGGCCCCTGTTTTTAATGTACCTGGCAAGTTAATTTATAGAGCCGACTGGGTGACCACACAGAGGTCAAAGCTATTGAAAGAAGTTTCATTACACACGGTTCCTGAGAGGTGGGGCCCTCCGCACCAAGCAGGACCACGTGGGGAGTTTCCAGGGGCAATTACAGGGAGAAGGAGAGAGCGTGGCCCAGAGCCTTTGCTGTGGTTTCAATGACAGGAACTGGTGAAGAAAGGCAAGCAAGTTTGCATGAGTTTAGGACTGGACAGCTTGAACAAGCTTGGCAGCTCTGGGCTTATGGAGGTCATTACTTACCTGGACATGGGGTAGGGGAAATATTGGATCAGTGTGTATAATTCAGAAAAAGAAAGTGGGCTTTGGAGTGGCTGGTGTGTGTAGGAAAGGCATGCTTGCAGGCAAGTTTTTTGCCATCTCTGGGAATTACTTAGTCCTGGGAAGACAGTCTCTCCCCAACCAGCAAGGTCGCCATATATCAACGTATCATAAAATGCAGAAAATAAAAAAAACATGATTAATTAACACAGGCCAAAGTCATCAGAATGAATTCTGGCCCCTGGTCACCTTATATCTTCTCTTACGATGTATTTTTTTCCTTGGTGAAATACAGCTTTTCTTGTTCCTGTTCCACTTGGGGAGATCACAACATCTCTCAATGATTGGCCCACTTACTTCCCCAGCATTCTGCTCAGGTGTTCCCTGTCCTTTCTATAGCAGCCTGCAGCACCCTGCCCCGGGGAGTCTTGGAGGACAGTACCCAGGTGTAGGGTAAGGAAAAAATGTCAGGCTTTTCTGCCCTCCCCCCATCAGGATAGATGATGGATCCTTCCGGTCCTGAATGCATGCCTGATGGCGGGCACCTGGAATAGGGTGTGGGCATAGGTAGATGGCATTCACCTGGGTTGAGACTGGGCTTTTAAGGGCGGTGTCACGGGGACGCCAGCAGAAGCCGAGAAGAAGCAGAACGAACAGAAGAGCAGAGAAGCAGAGAGAATGCCGGAGTGCCCAGAAAGAGTGAAGACTTGCTGGGGGCTGGGAGGCCTGCGGGCCCCCTAGCACCCCTGCCTGCCATATGCCTGGTAATCTAAATAAAAACCTGAAAAGCCACTGAGGACTCTGACTCCTCCTTTACCTGGTCTGCTGGATCAG